TTTATATAATGAAGCATGATCTATGCTTGACACTTGTCACTCCATGAGTGAACTCAACACATCCTCGGTCAAATAAAATAGCCACAGAAGCCGGAAGCCAGCAGACTTGGTTTGGTGAAAAACAAGCCGGCAATGGCTATTAGAAAGAAATAACTTCACATTCTGCATAGGAATAAATGGGGTTACCTTCATTAGCAAGCTGTGAAACGTGAGTCATGAATGCTCCAGTAAAATGAATAAATTTCCATTAATTAAAAGAGAAGAGATGGGTTTTTCCAAAAAGAAATGCTAAACAAATGAGTTTTCAACGGAAACAGGAAAAACAAGCGAATCGGACTGCCAACTTCAAACGTTACACAAAGTTGTGGAAGAAAAAATCGACCCATCGAACTTGCAGATTGATCAGAAACATACAATTTCATGGTAGATAATAAGAATAAAGAATAGCGAACTACTACCAGATAGTATGCACGAGACAAATGTAATTCTCATTAAGTTTTAGTGTAACATGAAATAATAGTCTACTTTCCTTACTTACTTTTATTTATTTTTTTGTTCTAATAGTCTTAATATTTATCCTCGTATCATAACTAAAGAGATCAAGTTCATTTGGTTGATAATTCATATCCCGAAGGCACTATTTCACAACACATCAATTATTTATTAGATATATGTTAAAACATACGACGATGCTACAGAAAACAGAACAAAAGCAAAGACATGAAATAAATCTGATACGCAACGAAAACGAGCTAAATATGAAAAGTTCACATAGCAATATTAAGCAACAACAATTAAGATAATATGTGAAATAAACCAAATCGAATTTGAACTTGAACTTTTCCCATCATGACGATGCTAACCATGTAGAAACGTATTGATAAGGTATCAATTACCTTTTCATCATTTTGTTTACTCTTGAATGCTCGTTGTAACTACTCTCAAACGTCGTTTTAAAGACCACTGTCGAATAAATGTCACTACCTTTGGCACAATGAAGTATAGAACAATTTTGATACCACCGATCACTGCAATAACTGTTAAAAGAACACTTTTGTACTATCCAAACTTTGAAAAGTAATGCTACGTAATGGCCTGATCTGGGAACTTAATTCGTAATTTTCTTAGAATTTCCACACGTTATTTTCTGTTTTTCTTTTATCGATACTTCTACAATATAAAGAGATAATATCACCCGTTGTTCAGCTTTTTCAATATCTTATATTCATGGAATTCTTACTCAAAAAAAGACGAGAAACATCAAAAGCACTGATGACCAGTAGCAATCAAATACCTCTTTATATCCCCAACCTCGCTAAATCCGGCTAAGTCTCGTTCTCTGAAAGCAAAGTTCATCAATAAGCTGAACGTTTTAAAGAATTCTTCGATATTATTGAAGTCTAGATATTTTCCTCACTGAATACAGGAAGCTTTTTGTTCTCTGAAGCCGATAGGATTCAATGAGATCTATGTCTTCAGCTAGTTTGCATACAATAACCCTTATCGTTCACAAAAACTATGCTTTGTTCTAACTTGTTTTTTCTCTTTTTTCTCTGAGAAAAAGATCGAAAAAATATTGACGCTTTGAAAATGACGGTACTAAAAAAATGTTGCAACTCCAGAGACACATGCATTTCAGCCTTCATATCGTCTACAATAGCGAATGATACTCACCAGTAGTAACAATATGGGAAAGGTCTTCCTTTTGCACATAAGTGTATTTGCATTCGAATGGTTGACATTGAGCATAATAATCAGAAAACGAAACATTTTTGTTTATCCATTCGTCCACCATCAATAGTTGTATCATGGAATCTAAGGTTGCATTTATATCAAAGTTTCGATTCAGTGAACCGTTCAAAGCTTTCGCGAAAAAGTAAGGATCAGTAAATTTGGTCCATTGCCGAAAATCGTCGATCCATGCTTGGCTGTAGAATATAGAAAGGGTTGATTGAAGAGCTGCCTCCATTACATAGCATCCTACTCGAACTCCCGGAATGGGAAATCTAAGCATGCCATCTTCCCCGTAAATGCCTGCATCTTGTGAACATGATGGAGAAATAGCACAAGAACAATTGAGAAAAGTAGTGTAATTAGCAACAGATCGAACTATAGTACCCGTATCACTTATATCCAAGCTCATCTGAATATTGGTAGCGTATCCAGAGATCAGAGCATTTGCTTGAGATGTTTCTCGGATGATTCGAAGCGAATTGATGACCTCGTTGGTTGTCGTAAGAATAAACGAGTCCATTAACTGAAATCCTTGCGCGTTCAGCTCACTTTTGGACATTACCTGACTAGTGGTAATAGACAATTCTTTGAAACGAACTAGGCCATCTATGATTGTGCTATTGGTAATTTCGCAAAGTAAGGCAATAGTATAAAAGAAGGAACTATCCACAAGACGAAAGTCGTACCAAGTGCTATTCCTTTGATTAGACATAGTAGCCAATACATGATCCATACCAATGCCAATGATCCAAGTTGAGTTCACTAAAGAACTAGAACAAACCTGATGAAATTTGGGATGTAGTGTTAGGAACACTTTGTGACTAATTGACGTAGTACTACACGGACACAGAAGTGTATCTGAATGGCTTGCATAGAGGGACAGATATACGTCAAATGATGGCGAAACGAATGCCACGGTGTGTACGACTGATGTTCGAGCTGCATACACTGTGACAATGAGTGCCGAGCCGATAAGTAGCAGCAGAAAGAATCGAGTTGAAATAATTTCTGTCTCAATCTGACTTTTATCAATTTCTATGAAGGATGAATGAAATAGATTAAGTCGACGTAATTTGTCCAGCAATTGATGTATTAATGTTCGAAGAGAGAAAGGTACTTCTGCTAATGTCGGAGTTGACTTCTTTCGATGAACATAATATGAGTGCAGTATGAACACGATTTGCACGAGAAAATGTGAGATAGTCTTCAGAATGGTGCTTAAACCACCAACCAATCCTAGCAGTGTAGTAAAAATAATCAAGGATCCCTTACGATCTACGATAATATACGTGCACGTTTTCGGTTGACACTTTTCATAATGAACATTATGGAAACTTGTCAAATTCCACTGATTAACCATCATTTGTGAGAGAATATTGTCTACTGTTGTTTCTTCTTCAAATCGAATCAACTGAGTATTATTCATGGCTCTAGTAGTACCTGAAGGAAAATAATACCATTCATTCAGCATATTCACCAATGTCTGTTCAAAGAGAGAATGAAGATTTGATTGCCGTACGCCTTCATCGGGCAGACAGTTCCGGTAGAAACCAACATCATTAGCCTCATATAAGATTACGGGCGATGGGCAAGAGGCAGAAGGAAAACAGAAGCAACCTTGATTGGACAAGTAAAAGAAGTTGAGCAAAGAAGAATTGGTTTTGCCTCCTAGAGCAACAGTACCACCAACATAGGGATAGAAGTTGGTTGTGTCAGCGCTCACGATGCCATTAGCACGACTAGTTTTGGTGGCCAGTGTAATAGGATGCAAAAACGAGTTGGTCATTGAATTTATAAAAGAATCAACGATGGCATTGGCACGCGTTCGAAATTCAAGCTCATTGAGCGTCTCTACAGTAATTAGTTGAGTACTATTGAATACCTCAGTGTTTATTTGAATGTGGCTTGCTGCTAGACGACAGTAAGATGCCAATGTTTGAAACACAGGTGGTCCTGAAAGTCGAAAATCAGAGCCTTCTAATCCCATGACAGAAGAAGAAAAGCTGAGCCATTTTGATTGGACGAAATCACTAGAACAGACAGGATGCAACATGATTTCGATATGAAAAAGGTGCTGATATTCTGTTGCAAACGATGAGCATGGGCACGATAGAGAATGTTCACTGTGCTGTTCCTGAAGACTACGATATTGATCGTATGATGGCACTTCAACCGTGTACATTGTGGCAGCGGTTTCCATAGAGAGATATGTTAAGAAATAAGCAGTGCAAAGAACAAAAAGGTAAATGAATAAGCGAGTCGAAATTAATTGATGTTGGATTTTGACGACATTCGTGGTCAATGGTATTGTTTGAAACACATTTAAGTAGATCAATTTTTTCCACCACGGTTCAACTAAAGCGAATACAAGATTTTTTGAAAGCATTTATCACAGACCTGATATGATCACAAATGAACACTATCTTATTGGTGCAAAATATCTCAACAAAAAAAACTTGAGCGTACTACTAGCATTGATCTCGACAATCTAGCAATATGTCATTCATTGATACATTTTTTGATTGGGTGTCGCATAAGGAACATCATTTGTCTTTGAATTTTCTCGAAGTTTATTGTTCTCAATTTCTACTACGGGGTATCTTTCCTAGAGATATGGTTTCTGGAAAAAAGACCCTCTTGGATCATAGTTCTTATTTAAAAAAGACTGTTTGTCGAAATCATTTTCTGAGAACAAATTCATTTATATGCTCCGTTTTTATTGCGGACAAGTCTAGTAACATCGAATTCAAAGTATGAATAGCTATATTTAATATATTTTAGAGATGATTTCAGGATGATATACATTGGAAATTATCCTTGGATTGTGTCAGTTTTTTGTGAAAGCTTGATGTAATGCGATGATCACTAAGAATATCGGACATAAAATATTTGAGCAGAGGTTTTGTATTTAATAGATATATGATAGTTGATGCGTTCAAATACTATTCTTATTTAAAAAAAAGATTAAACATTTTTTTTTATCTCCTCGAAACATGTTTGATGATTTTGTTTTTAGCTAATAAAATAAATATTTCTAACTTCTTCAGATTTTCACTGTCTTATCAATGCACTCAGAAAGTAGTCACATCAATTTTCACACATTCTTATGAACAGCAGAAGGATGAATTTCGAAAAGTCACTGTAGATTTTTGTATGAGATCAACCTAATTTTATCAGGTATCAGGAAAATGATTTTTAAAAAAGACGCTGCAAAAGTTTCTCAACCACGAATAAATCAACATGAACAAAATCGAAATAGGGTTGGATCACTTGTAAACGTTATATGGATCAATACCTTCTGACATATTATTCGGCGATGTGACAGACGGTGGTATCGCACGAAAAATTCGATGTCGAATAAATCGTACAGCATGCGGTACAATTAATTTAAGAACTTGAAATAGGCCACCGACAAGACCAATAAGCGTCGTGATGATATATAAAATATTATACTTATTAGTAAACGTAAACGTGCAAACGTTTGGATTGCACTGTTTATAATAATTTGACCACGAGACATTCTGATACCAGCGTTCAATCATGGCATTGGATAGAAGAGCATCAATGCTTGAATTAATATGAAATTGGCTTCGAGATGGATCAAGTACAGTTGCATTGAAAGACAGTGGAGATTCTAGCATAAATTCAACTTGTTCTAGACACGTTTGATTGTAGAAACATTCTAATGATGAACTTCGCATTGCTTCAACCAAGTAACAGCCAATGTATAAACCAGGTATTGTGAATATTCTGCTGCCATTCATTGATCGACGTGTTAAAGGTGCAAGACATGTGGATGTTAGAAAGCAATTACAGCTTTCATTATTGTAATATTTGATTCCGATAATAGCCATCAAAAAATCATTCACAAATATAAGAGTATTAGTCAGTAAACCGGACATAAGATAATTTGAATGAGTTATATCTCGGACGACATTGAAAGGTTGAATGAAACTCTTGATCGTCGTTCTCTTGAATGCATCAATAATTGATTGAGTTCGTTGAACAAAAAGATCTTCAGCTAACATTGTGGACGAGATGAAACGTGTAGTATTGAAAATAGCCAAGGTATCGTTCAGATTTTTCTTTGCTAAACTACAAAATGTTGCGAGTGCTTGAAACAGAGGACCACCAGTATAGCTAAAATCATTGCTGATATAGAGATCAGCGGCCGCATATATATGTGCCAACCACTTAGTACTGACAAAGTCACTAGAACACACTTGATGCATATCTGGATACAGTAAAATAAATGTGTTGTGCATCACTGCAATATTCACGCATGGGCAATTCAGTGTTGTGGGATAATGCTGTACAAGTTGACGATATTGATCGAATTTTGGCTTGGATATGCTAATCGTTTCAGTGATGCTTTGCTGAGATGTATAAGTTACAAGCACGATAATAGAGAAGATTAAAAGAAATAAGAGTAATCGGGTGGACAGCAGTTGGTTTCGGATTTCGTACTGATCAGTAGTTGGCGGCTGGAAAGCGAATAGATTGAATGAACGGCAGTAATTGATTATCAACGCCTTTTTTGACGGTTCTTTTGTTCTATTCTTAATTGGGCTTTCATTGTCTCGAAATATTGATGCTACCTCAACTCTGGGTGAATGCATCATTGAAGAATCAATGTTTTACCAATGAAACAAAATCACTCGTCTCGAAGTTCAATGTTAAGACCTTTTCAGATAAGAACTTCACTGCAAATATATATCTTATGCAAGACTGTTTACTGTCAACTGAAAAAGAGCTATTAATCACGTCAGAAAAAAAAGTCGACCAACTTACACTGAATACTTTATTTTTCCAAATTGGTTTGTTCTTACACATGAAATCATTGTTGCATTAGTTTTTTACCAAATTGGTTCTCTTCTTTTAATCTTGAAATGGTACTTTTGCTGTGCATTAAAATAATCAAAACACTCTTTTTCAAAATTATCTACGTGAGTGGTAACTTTCGCTGAGCATTGGTTCTGTCAACAATATGAGAATTGCGTTAGACTTGTCGAGGTAATATCAATGAAAGTTTAATTATGAAAAGCAAGAAGCTTTTGTAAGAAAACCGATAAGCATGGATCAAAAGTTGATGATAGCAAGTGTCAAAGTTTCAAACTACAATAAAAACAGTCTTCGAATCATAATTCGCGTAGATGTATCTAAATTAATCGCTCAAGACAATGATATTTGCCTGAAATTGACTTTTTTAACAAACTAAGGATCAACATTGAATTTTTTCCTGCGTCTAACTCAATCTCGAAATCAATTATACGAATATATTAATGCAACAATATGTTAGCATGAAGAATTTAACTTTGCCATGATTGGTCTCTTCAATTTGTAGGTAGACATACCAACAAACTCATATTAAAAACCACATTGGCGCGAGAAATCGATTCTACATCGATTATAATCAAAAAATAACAGAAAATATCTAAATTTCATTGATTATTATGATTACTTTTGATTAAAATCGATTTAATAATCATATAAACACCGCTTATCATCACACGAAATTGATTAAAAATGATGTTTTTACACAACTTTAAATTGGTTTCAATCATAAATAATCAAAATAATCAATGGAATTGCAATATCTTTGATTGTTTGTTGACTCTAATCGATTAATAATCGACTTGTTGTTATTTTTATATAATTTTTTTTTGCATAGAAAAGAAACGATAGAAGTAATCTTAAAAAGAGCGTCTCACATTTATTATGCTCCTTGACAGCACGCATCATTTATTTAACTTGCGAAGAAATTGTTTCATCTATGAAAATATAATTGCCTCTCGCTCAAAAGTGAGTCTCTGGAAAAAAAAGCAAACACTCTCTATACACTGACGATTGAAGTAAATCTTACATTGAGCTAGTTTCTAGGTATGCTATAGAACTATGTGAGTTGTACATCTTCTGAAAGTTTCAGCGCAATCGAATAAGTTTTTTAAAATACAAGTCTATTACAAAGTCACGATTGTGGTATCCATATTTTAACCATATTCTTGAGCGATTTTACTTATTCAGCAGAGGAAACTGCCTTCTTAAGTTTCAGTGTGAATAGATATAGAAGTTTGCCATTGACAGAAACGAATATGTTTTTTCTCTATACTCTAGAATCGTGATAGAACACAAAAATAAGAATTCTGTGTGAAGACTAAGCGTACGACGCATCAATCGATGCATACTCATTCTCACATACTACTCCTCATTTTTTTTGACAAACATATGTAAAATTTTGGTAAAACACACTCAAGGTCTCACCATACAAAGAGCTCTTTAAACTGTATTCTTGGAAATCAATCCAGTTTTTTCGCATGAGTATAAATTGGAATGTTTTTTATTAATTAGTTTTTAGCGCAAAATAACACTGATAATAGGACATTTCCAGTTGACCAGCATTGATCGAGCTCATAGTTCGACCCATAACTCAAATTTAAAGAGATTATGCAAGGTCACGCTCGCAGCCTACCTTGGTCGAGTTATGAATATTTCACGAAGATTTTAGACCTTCAGATTTGACATGACTGAAAACGAATGAATTATGAGACCTTTGCTTTAAATATTTGCCAACAAATTAAACTCTGAACATAACAATATTATAAAAAGTTTAGTTCGCATCAATGTATTTCTCTCGAGATATGTAGAGACAAAGGGCCGATAGTATGCCACAACAAAAGGTTATCAAATCGGCGTGTTTGAGATTATCAATACCTTTAGGTATAATTTTGTCTAGTTAGAGTATTGGTGCAATTCGTTTTAAGCCTTAACTAATCTCATCGAGTCTTATTCATGAGTCCAAATATGAGATCGATAAAAAAAAGTTCCACCTTATGTCTATGAAAAGAATTTCATCCTGGTCAGATGACGGAAATTTGAATGTTTAGAATGACTACCACACTGAACACACTTGACCAATATTTTGCTTATATTTACCAAAGAAAAACGTGTAAAATCTGAGAATGTGTATCAATCGACTGAAGTTTCCCATGCAATTTTGATGAAAAGTTCCAATTTTCTTGTTCTGTAGCAGAAAAACATGGTTTTTGTTTCTGAAAATATCGAATTCCAGTGTATGTTTACGCTTAAATGATAATGCTAAGTTTTAGTGGTCAATAAATAAAATCGTTTCAAAACACAGATAAAACACGAGTGTTGCAATAGTCGTCGTGTGGCACAGCTGTATCTTGAACAACTCGTCGAACTGAGCTAAAACTTTCAAAAGATGCGCAATCCGTATGACTCTCTAGTTTATCTAAGAATTTACCGAATTTAAAATTATCTTTCATCGTCAATGTCTGAAGTTTGTAGATGCTCTTACGATCTAGCAAAACCTTTTTTGGTTATCCCAAGATATAGGAGGTTTACTTGTTACAGAAGAATTGATCTCATAATATTTTGCATAAGTTCATCGAACTAATTATATTTTATTTTAATTTTACATGAGACTAAGGTCAAAGACGAGTATACGATACTTGACAAGCATGTGCCATGATTATCCGAATCTGAAGCTCTTGCTAATTATTATTGGACTTATCACACCAATCATTCTTGTTGTTCTGTCAACTATTGGAATTTTCTCGACGGTTGCAATTTCAAAGATAATCACGGCCAGTTTCGTAGGTACGCTGATTCATTCCTTGTGGAATTTTTTGACACTAATTCGAAGTAGACTCAAAAAGTACAAATGATCAATCGCAGAAATTTTTCTGAAAGGCTTCCAAGCAAATATTGTATTTGTTAGACGAAAAAAAGCGAGAATCTCTTTTGTTTTCAAAATTTGCCGTTTACATTGACTAGAACAGAATATAAAAAGTTTCAGTGTATAAAGGATAATGTGTGTCGAACCCAAGGGATCAATGACTTTCAGCAATTTGGTGAAATATAATTGTCAACAAGCATTAAAGCCAACTTCTGTAAAATGAGATTCTGCTAATTGATACAAGTGTTTTGCTGTTGGTTATAGCAAGAAGAAAAGACAAATTTTGTTCTTTTTTGACTTTTCTCAAGTGAAATAAGTTATTCGCTTTTGTTTTTAGTTTCCACTGTCAGTCATGTGTCGACCAGCACTACGCAGCCAATATCAAGTAAGCTTTATTTTGTTTTCTCTCCCATTTTGAATATTTCTGTACTACTATACTATGCTGATGCATTTCTTGAACCGAACATTGAGTCTGTCTATAGTGAAAATATCTTTATCAGCTTTTAACCTCATCTCTGCGAAAAAGATAACAAAAAAGGAAGACTCACAAATATGCAGATTCAACATTTTCACTGCTCAAATAATGATCATGTGATATTAGATTGATTATTGTCGAACCAAAAATGAATAGATTCTTTCAAAAGCAACACAGTTCATATACCACATTTGACTTAATATTGTAACAAGAACTAATTTTTACTCCGTTTGAGTAATAAGATCCTTTTAGTTAGTGGCGACTCAGGAATCCAATGAAAATGGCTCAATCCCAGGGGAAGTCTCAGCTCCCACTTGGCTCCGCTGCCAGATATAGTAAAGTTTTAGATCTGCACGAGCTGATGTTAGCACAAGTACATTTCTAAATTTTTCCTTTTGATCGTAGAGTGATCAACGACATCATTTTTTCGGTTCTATATTTTGAAATCAATGCATCGATTTTAAGAGAACTTTTCACAGTACAAAGTGCTTCGTCCTGTGTTGCATTGCAATTCTATTTGATGCAGAATTAATATATTGAGCTCGAAGAAAACATATACTACTGTACTATAAATTTTAGTCGCTTTTGTTGATTCATAAATGTGAACATGCCGTACATAATAATCTTGAATATCTCTAGCGGAAAGTACAGCATCATCGTCATGCTCAGCACCATGCGCAGACAGACAAATATGTTTCAACGGCACATGTTTGTACACGGGAAATTTAGCCATTACAATTATTTGGTCACGGCCGGGCAACTGTGATCTTGATGTGCAGACTCCCAATGGTTGGAACATTTCTCCAATGTATCCAACCGAACCAACAGAATTTGCAGACTATGGTCAGATGGATGTAACGAGTGAACTTACAGGACCAGAAAATGTCTTTTGGGATGTTGATGCTCAAATTCCGTGGGGCACGTATCATATCTGCTTGGAAGTGGTCTTTTTTGATGACGTTGTTAATGAGAGCAATCCTCTTATTGCGAACGTCTTTGTTCGAAAACTATCGAGGAATACAGAAACTTTTACTCACACATTTACAAATCAAACAAGTGGAATGTATACTTGTGACATCAACTCAGTTGGATACATTGCATCTATCACTTATCCTTGAAAATGATTCTTTTATTTTTAACTGAATGCTTTGTTGTAACACAGCTCTTTATGATCTTCTTGCATTTCACAGGACACGGAGCCTGAACTTCAAACAATTTGAATAAACAGATTCAACTCTATCGAAAATTTGTTGTGTTTTCACACTAGATCCTTGACAGATGCAAGCAAAATCTTGCAAAGATTCGCCGGTTTTTTTCTGAAGAAGCGAGTAAATCCCAAAGAAAGTTTGTAATCACGAAGTTTCAAGATTCTAAGCAGTTTACTGCTCTATTAAAAATCATGACTTTGTTCAGAAGACCGTTAATCTTGAAAGAAACGAAGAGCTACGAAATGTCAAAGATTTCGATAGGAATTCGAAACAAGATCTTAGTCGGATTTTGAACAGCTTTCCATTGTTTTTAGATCTGGATCCTACAAGAGTCTCACTAGGTTTCCTCGAAGATATATTCAGATTTCTTGACAGAATCTTTGCAGGATTTTCTAAAGAAAATAGAAAAGAAATAAACACATTGAGTATCAATCTCTGGACCTTCAGCTTGCAAATCTTCGTACATCCAGTTCTTAACTGGTTTCTCTTAGCAGCATCCAGAACAGATCTTGACTAGAGGTTGATAATATTTTGACAAAATCCTGTCTGCTATTTTTGTGAAAATCCTTAATAGAGTCGAGAGTAACTCCTGGTAGGATCCTGCAAACAGAAACGACACTAGCATTGGAGACAAGATTCTTTGAGCTCATGTCTCAAGAAATGAGCAGTTGTGAGACAAAAGATAGTTTATTCTGAAATTTCATTTTCTACAAGAGCTTAAAATGACACATTGACATATTAGAAACTGCTAAGTTATGATTCGCATGAAATAGTAATCTTACACGAAAAATACAACATTCATCGTGATCCATTGTACTCTATAATTTCTCATATTGTTTTATGCTAACACATTATATTCGATTTTATTTTTTGAGCCTTCGCTAAGATTTGATGCATGCGTCTATCGTGCATTTGTTCGTGTTGCTGACGGTATAACGCACATGACACCGAACGATCTAACAGCAGCTTTCTTTTTTTTATTCGGTACATAACTTGGACTGAAACTAACTCACAATTTCACTAAATTCTTTTGTTTGCCATTATTTTTATTTAATTAGTTAATCATACATATTTGATACTCAAGTAAACTGTTTTTGAATTAGATGAAATTACTAAAGAATTGAATGATCAATGGAATGAAAAATTAGAATGTTTAATAACAATCGAAATAAATTTTAATTGATTCCAAAAAACATTTATATAATTTATTATGATTCATGAAAAGAGAGATGTCATAATATCCATACGCTGAGTTAGAACGAGCTACAAGGCATCATTTCCATCAAAGGAAATACTCAATCCGATACTCATATATAAGTATCGATTTAGATATCCATATCGTTGCATTATATTCAGTCAGAATTGCTAATTTAGCAGTATGTGAATACCGCGAATTCATGAAGTGAATCTCCTAATAGTGATGTTGTGAATCTCGATATCCGAGTTATGAATATTATAACATTTCTTAATGAAAACTATTTATTTTAAAACTTTTTATTATTGTTTACACAGAGATAATGAAATATTTAAGAAAAAGCAGACAAAAAAAGTGATTGAATTCTGTTCAGTTCTGAAATAAGAATAACATTATCACGATTATTTAGATAAATGACTCATCGTGAAAAAAGTTCTTTTTGTTTCTTTTCATGTAAATGAATCTCGAGAAGAAAGAAATAAACGACGTTTGCAATTTTATTTTTTTACTGGTTTTTTTTTCACAACACGTGCATTGTTATACCAAAGACTTTTTTGTTTTTCTCTTGCATTATTTTACACTGAAGTAAGATTACAAATGAGGTAATGTAAGTTGGAAAAACGACAATTTTTACAAAGTGAAGTATCAATTTGTGATATAAATTATTGTTAAGTAGAGCCCATCGAGCCCACAGTTTTCGAATTCAAATCATACTCTTGATTTCAAGAAATTCTTTTAGTTTGAATCTGATAATCGTTCCAAAGAAGAGAGGTATTTTTTTTTATCGCTTACCTGTATTCGGCGACTAACACACCCTTGGCATGTCTCAGACAATCTCAACGATAATATTACTTAGGGCAGTTTTAAAAGTAGTGAGAGTAGTACTTTAGTTCTTTATAAAAACCTTGAAGAAACTTCATCTCTATATAGTCTGATAGAGAAAAGAATGTTCTATTTGTCTATGCTATTTGATCATACTTCAACTAATGTTCTAATAATAAAATTTCGATAAGATGTGTTTTGTTCGCATGTGCCACAGCTTTATGAATGCTAGTGAGGATTTTTTGAATAAATTTTGATAGAAGCAAGATAGAGAACTAGGGTTTTCACTGTTTGAAAAAAAAGATGAAGATGTATCTAATCATATATTGTAGAGTTTTCTAATATTGATTTCTAAAGTATTTTCATTCAATTTTCTAACTGTCGGGAAGATGTTTTTGTTTTTATGATAAAAAGGAAAAAGCATAAAAATGAGCTTTTTCCACAGATTTTACGAGAAAATTGTATTAGACGCTCGACTAGAATACATATTATTAATCTTAGCCTTTCGCACTTTGTAGATCTTAGCTTAGAGGTTTAACTTTATACTTGATCATTGAAAATTTACTGTAAATAATGTACCAGATTGGTTTGTTCTTAAAAAGGTTAATTGAAAACCTTACAAAAAAACAGATCAGAAAATCTTGGAATATACGACTCGATACATCGTCATTTCTTCTTTCCAACGGTAAAAATGGCAGTTCTATATCTTGCTTCTGTCGAAAGTTATTCAAGAAATACTCACTCCTATTTTTTTTAAATCAGTATTAATGCAACCAGCACATATGATTACGAAACAGATCTTATCGAAATTTTAATATGGAACTAAAGTATCACTCTCAGTACTTTTAGACTGTCCTAAGTATAATAATCAAGTCATAATTGACTCTTAATTTTAGAGCAGAACCTGTTAGATTTTTCCTAGACAAATCTGCCAGTTTCTATTGTTAATATGATTTTGAAATGCTTTTGTTTTAAATTTAAAGTCAAGATATTTTAACAGTCGTTCTATTTCTTTATTTTAGTATTAAAAAAATAGAGAAAAAACATGGGCGATTCAACAGCACGACCAAAATCATCCACTTTAAAAGTAAATAAAAACTGTCCTCCGGACCAAGAAATAAATATTCTTTTATTGGGACAAACCGGCGTAGGAAAAACAACATTTATTAATTCTTTAGCTAATTATCTTGCTAACAGTACTTTTGATGAAGCAATCCATGATGAAATGCAAGTCATTATTCCAACTTCAATTCATTTTACTGATTCAGAAACGTTCGAAGAAAAAACAATATATATAAGTGATAAAAAAAGTCATGAAAAAGTTAACGACAATGGTCAATCATGTACACAACAATGTAGAAGTTTTGTTTTTCCATTTGGTGAGCGAAATTTACGATTAATTGATACACCTGGTATGGGTGATACAAGAGGTTCTCAACAAGACAATGAAAATTTATTTGAAATTTTAACATATATTTCTTATTATGAACATTTAAATGGCATATGTATTTTTCTTAAACCAAATGAAGAACGTTTGACAATACTATTTAGACTTTTTATTAAACAAATTCTTTATTATTTACATGCCAGTGTAGCTGAAAATATAACATTTGTCTTAACAAATGCTCGATCAACATTTTATATGCCAGGTAGTTCGAATAAGCTTCTTCAAGTACTTATAAAAGAATATCGTGATAAACATAATCAAGAAATACCTTTTTCAAAAAGTAATACATTTTTATTAGACAATGAAACATTTCGTTACCTTGCATTATATAACGATGGAATACAAATTAATGATGAACAAATTCAAATTTATAAAAAAAGTTGGGATTATACTATTAAAGAATATGAACGTCTTATTACTTATATATGTCAATGTCCACTTCATGCTGTCGCAAATACACTTTCTTTAAATTCAGCCGAACAGCTCATTAAAAAACTTTCGCGTCCTATTGCTGAAACAATAAGACTTATTCAACAAAATATTCAACTTGCTAATGAATATAAGCAAAATCTACCTAAAAAAACGACAAATGCCGCACATCAATTGCTTCAAAATATCATTAACATTGTACCATTCGCCCGCCCAAGCATGATTTGTATTAGTAAAAAGTGTTTACAAATAGTCGACGTAAACAATGAGAAGAAAGTCATATATAAAAAAGTATGTCAAAAAGATTGTTATTTAGATGGTGTTATACAAGAAACTATAACAGATCCAAGAATAGAAAAATCCAAGGTGATCGATAATCAGACAGGTAAATCATTGAAATTTATTGATTATTATTAACTTAGTTATATCATATAATTTGTCTAAATAAAAGCTTGCCGCTTACAAGTGAAAAAAAATTATATTTATTTTAATATTGAATATTTTTAGAATTGCATTTTTGTTTTATTGAAATAACTTTACAATATTTGAGAAAAAAAAAACAAAGTTCTATTAATAAATAATCATCCAAAATGTAATTTTATTAACTATGTGGATTCATTTTTTTTTGTCAGACAAGATCTTAGTGAACAAGAGTTTAATAATAGTGAGTGATCACTTTCAAATATTCTTTTTTGGTAAAATTTTCGAAGCATATAAAATCAGCTGTTTGATTTGACTTGCTGAAATTCACAGAATGTTTTTCGATTAACAAACAAACAAATCTTTTTTTAAATACTTTTAGTAAAATCTATTCGAGTAGTTTAATATAAAATGTAACAAAAACCAAACAGAACATATATAAATGATTTTNTCACCATAAAAACTAGGTGGACAAAGACATGTATTTATTGTTAAGTTCTTTTCATTGTTTAACCAGATACGTAAATCAAAACCACGATGACATCGAAGCTCATGTTGATCAGACATTTCAATGTGAGATGAACTTGAAAATTTGAGTTTTATTATATTCTTAGTTTGATCGTCGACGGGTTTGCTCATTCCATCCAATGAAAAATATTTAATTTGTTGTTTTATCTTGAATTTTGTTTCGTGACATAAAAACTGCTCAACATCAGAACGAATAGATGAATAAGGCAAACGACAAATACTGTCATATGTGGAAATATTTGTTCGATTTTTTACGCAAAATTTTTCATCATCTTCATAATCACAAAATGCAATATTATTACATAGCTGTTGGAAATCAATACATGAATGACGTCTTGAATGTATGCAGTAAAAATTATCCAACAAACTTACTCGATACTTTTTTTGACATAATGTTGGCTCGTCAGTAGCACCAAGACAATCGATCTTGCCATCATTTGCTTGCTTAACAGGAAGACAAATGAGTTCATTCGTATGAAGTGAAACACATCTGTGATGATCTAAAGAACAATTTAATGTTGAAGATAAATCACAACCAACTTCATCTTCACCATGTGGACAATTCCATAAACCATCGCAACGAGTATAAATGTTAATACATGACCATTGTTCACATTCTGTTTCATCTGTTTCATTTTGTCCTTCGATAATTATCGGAATCAATTCAGTAAATCCATCACAAATAGTTTGAAATGAAATATTCTTTCTAGCATATTGTATATGAAAATCTTCATCTTCACACCAATTTTCACCTTCAAATTTACACTCGCAATATCCATTCTTAAAAAGCGATTGATGTATGTACTTGTTAGCTATTTGAAATTTGAAATGATATTTTAAAAATGTTGTTAAATTAGCATTATTGATTTGCGTTTTATTTTCGTCATCTATGTGAGGGCAATCGACTATATTGTCCATGAGACGACTTATTGAGATACATTTTAACGAATTAAAACATTGGTACATGTTTGATCTATTACAAATCTCAGAAGTATAATTAGTAATTAGATTAAACCTATTCAATTCTTCGAATAGGTGGTGTAAAGGTGGGTCATATCTATCCACCCATGTAGTGGACATAATCATTGAAGAGTGTAGCATATCAGGACGGAAACATGTTTTATTTTTGAATAAAATCTTTGGGTAATCAATTGAATACTCATCATAATAAGAATTGCTATAGCATGCGTAAGGTGGTACAGAATTGCTATCGACCAAATGTAATGAATCATCTTTTGTATGTGCGAAGTAAATGTGACCAAAAAAAAGAGGAATATTCGGAATGTAAAACATATCTGGACATGTGTTGTTAATGATCTCTACACATGCTGGTTTTTCATAAATTTCAGTACACAAGGGCTCTTTTGAATCTGGTACTTCTAAAAGGCATTTGAAAGCTGACCAACATTGTTCAGATGTCGAATTGCCTTTAAAAGAATAGATCGCTTTCAAAAGTAAGGTTTTGCGTTGTTGAACACAAGAACTTGTCATGAATGTATATCGACATGTCTTTTCTTCACATTCAAATGATGGTATATCTGTCTTACATTTGTAACTTTGTTCAAAGATTATTGGAATTTCGTCAGAACCATCAAGACAATCAGAAGTGTTACTGTCATCTCGAAAAAACGACTGAGGTATACATTGTCCATTAGTACATCGATATTCATTATCATTACATTCATTTATTTCAATTTGCCAACAATGTTCTTCATCAAATTCTCCATCGAGACAATTGACCTGTGCATCACAAATTTCACTCCAATCTAAACATGCTGGAAAAGGACCACGATTACATTGTAAATGAGTATAACAGGTAAAATGATTAGGATTATATTCATATGTACGATAATAATCATGAATAATTTCATNAATATTATTGGAAATAATAAACTTCCTCGATAAGATAATGAAACTTTTTCATAGATATCAATATGTATTGCATAATTTTTTGTTTGATTTTTTGGTCGAGTTCAATAAAGCAAATAAATATTAAATTTGATTTTACAATCTCTTATCGACAAATAAGTGAACTGTTCATATGAATGAATAATTCTTTCATTACTATCATCAATAAGTGAAACAATCATTGAAAATAATGTTGACCAAGAATCTGATAATGCTCGAAATTTAACAGTCAAACTTACTCGTTGATTTTGATATTGACATTGATCACCATAAAAACTAGGTGGACAAAGACATATATTTGTTGTTAAGTTCTTTTCATTGTTTAACCATATACGTAAATGAAAACCACGATGACATCGAGATTCGTGTTGATGAAATAGTTCGATGATAGATGAACTTGAAAATATCGGTTTTATCACATTCTTAGTTTGACCTTCTACAGGTTTGCTCATTCCATCCAATGAAAAATATTTAATTTGTTGCTTTATCTTGTACTTTGTTTGATGACATAAAAATTGCTCGGCATCAGAACGATTAAAAAAATATGACGAATGGCAAATACCCAAATAGATAGAAATATTTAAGCGATTGCTTACACAAAATTTTTCATCATCATTGCCATGATCACAAAATGTGTCACCATTACATAGAAATTCAGAAGGAATACATGACTGTTGGTTTTGTTTCATGCAGTAAAAATTATTGGCAAATTTTACTTGATATTTCGTTTGACATAATATTGGTTCATCAGTAGCACCAAGACAATCGATATTGCCATCATTTGCTTTCTCAACAGATAGACATGTAAGTTGATTTGTGTAAGGTGAAACGCATTTGTGATGATCTGAAGGACAATTTAATGCTGAAGATAAATCACAACCAATTTCATCTTCACCATGCCGACAATTCCATAAACCATCACAACGAGTATAAATATTATTACATGACCATTGTTCGCATTCTGTTTCATCTGTTTCATTTTGTCCTTCGATAGTTATTGGAATGAGTTCAATGAATCCATCACATATAGTTGAAAATGAAATATTCTTTCTGACATAGTGAATATGAAAGTCTTCATCGTCACACCAATCGTAGTCTGCAAGTTGACATTCGCAATTATCATTTTGAACAAGTGATTGATGTATGATCTTGTTAGCCATTTCGCATTTGAAATGGTTTTTTAAAAGTTTCGTTAAATTAGCGTAAATGATTTGCGTTAGGTTTTCGTCATCACTGTGAGGACAGTCGTGTCTACGATCCATGAGACGATTTACTGAGATACATTTGACCGAATTCAAACAGTGATACATGTTTGGTGCATTACAAATTGTAGCAGTATAGTTAATAATTAGGCTAAATTTCTTCAAGTCTCTGTGTAGTTGTAATAACGGCTTATGATATCTTGGCTCCCATGCAGTCGCCAAAGTCATATGAGACCCTAGCACAGGAGGACGAAAACATGTTCTATTTTTAAAAAAGAATTTTGGGCAATCAATAAAATACTCATCATAACGAGAATTGTCATAGCATACATAAGGTGGTGCGAAATGTCTTTTGGCGAAAACTAATGAATCATTTATTGTGTGTGCAAGGTAAATGTGACCAAAAAAAATCGGAACATTCGGAATGTAAAACATATCCGGACATGTGTTTTGTATGATCTCAACACAAACGAAATTTTGACAAATATTAGTACAAAATGGCACTTCTGAGCCAGATACTTCTAAGAGACATTTAAATGCTGACCAACATTGTTCAGATATCGAATTGTCTTTAGCAGAATAGATTGCTTTCAATAGTAAGGTCTTGCGTTGTGACACACAAGAACTTGTCACGAAAGTATACTGACATATCCTTTCTTCGCAATCAAATGATGGCATGACTTTATTACAGTAGGTCAATGCTCCACCATATTTTGGAACTTCGTCAGAACCATCAAGACAATCAGGAGTATTAATATCATCTCGAAAAAATGACTGTGGTATACATTGTCCATTAGTACATCGATATTCATTATCACTACATTCATTTATTTCAAGTTTCCAACAATGTTCTTCATCAAAATCACCATCGAGACAATGCACTTGCCCATCACATATTTCACTCCAATCTAAACATGCTGGAAAAGGACCACGATTACATTGTAAATGACTATAACAGGTGAAATTAGTAGAATTATATTCATATGAAAGATAATAATCACGAATTATTTCATATAAAGATGAATGATTTGAATGATAATAAATAATTTCATATTGACACATAGAACCAAATCTTGGTAGTGTACAATTATAGAAAACTTGTTTTTCGAGAGATATAGCATTGAATGTTAATAATTGATTTAAATAGAATTGATAACGTTCAACAAGATCGATCGGTGCTGACCAAAGATATAATTGTTGACTAGTAATACTCAATTTCGAAAGTTCACCAAATGTAAACTTTGGAAAGATATCATTGTCTTCTATATGAAATTTTGATGGCAATTCATTCATACAATAAGATATAATTTGATGATTAATATTTGTTTCATCAATAGAAGCAGCAACACGCAAACAATTGTGTTGTAATACAGTATTAATTTCATTTTCACTTAGCCAATCTGTATAATGAAGATTGATTTGTGGAGTAGCAAAAATGAAATGTAAGAGAATGAAACTGAATAGATATTTCATATGAAACATAATCTATGTAATTTTATTATAGAGACAAATGAATAGATAAATAGATATTTGTGAAGTTCATATTTAATTCGTTCTTTTTTTGTCTGTTTTCTTTTTCTTTTCTTTTTTTTAT